GTTAGGAAAAACCACCTTCAGAACACGGCCAAGAAGCCCGAAAAACCCACAACAACCAAATATTGGTATGTTTTCTATATTACGGACAAAAACCAATAGGTATGCTGAGCTTATTTTTACCTGCCTAAGATGTAGAGACACATGAAGCTGCCTCTGAAGAAGGTTTATGGCTGAACTCCACATCTTTCTGTCAGGGCTAAAACACAGAGTAGTGTAAAACTGGAACATTGTATGGTACATAGGAAAACACTGCAAGGACACACAAATTTCGTAGCAGTAGATTTCCCTCTTTTAACCGGACTTGGACAGGTTTTGGCCTTCAGTGTCACCAGGGTTTATCCTGGATCTGGTAGCAATGTGTCGCCTGGGAAAAATTGAATACAACTCTCAGAATCTCATAACCAGCAATGCCCATTTGTCCTGGTGGGTTATGGTTTCTATGAACTGTTGTTCACATAGTGATATTTCAAAGCTTTGAGTACAACCCACAGGATTTTATTTTATTTTTTTGCTTTGTGAACTCACAAAAGATAAACTGTGACTGTTTTTCTTGTGTCATTATACAGTTGTCACAAAAACTTTTGTGAAGGTATGTCAACGTGTTAATGTTTTCCCTTTTTAGGAATGATTGTAAAGTATAATGTGTTTTAGAGCTTTCAGGGTTTTTTTTAAAGCAAGCAAGGCATCTCTTTTTCTCAGTTGTGTCCAGAGTTATTTTTATTGTCCAAGTGGAGTTCTCTTTGAGATGTTTGGGCTGATGAGAAATGAGGTTGAATTCCGATCCTCCATTTTCCTTTAGGCCACGGGGAACATCTCCCAAAGGCTCCTGTGATCCCCAGAACAGACTTTCAGGAGCCACTGTGGGAGGGCAAAATTGGTGAAATGGCTTCTGCCCTTGTTCTGACAATTAAAATCCACTAATCCACAATCTTCTGTGAATAGATGGTATTTTTCAATTTGTGGAAGGAGAAATTTGGAGCAAAACGAAATATCAAATAAAATAGTGTGGTTCTATTATTGTATAATAGTAAGCCAGTAAAATGCATCTTGCATCTCCAGGCCACTCTCATACATATTTTTCCAACCCAGTGCAGTAGCTTTGTACTTTATGGCTAATGTATACCTGCAGTCAACACTTCCAATACTCACTTCCCAATATTCACACCCCTTTCCTAAACAATGTGTTCTACATGCTGGAATTCAGTTACTTGCAAAATCTAACATACCATAGACCAGCTGTGGTCACTGACTGGAGAACAGAAAATGTAAAGTATCGGTTTTCAAATCTCATTAACGGATATATAAATGCTTATAAAATAGGTAAAAATTAAACATTTCAGTTCTGTATTCTGTTCACACAAAATCTAGTTAATATTAATTTTAATATTGCAGTACATTAACCACTTCTCTTGTAGTGTGTATCTGATACTTACTAGGCTGGAAATCCTCAGATGATAGGTAGAGTACAGAAGGCACTCACACATGAACTCAAAGATGTTATTGCATACAGAATTTCCTGCATTAAAAAAATATAAAAAGCTAAAAATGAACAGTTTATAAAATACATTTTAAAGTGGCTTAGCCTTTACATTTTACAGTATGGTGGAAAAAAGTATTTTCTTTCAGATGGCATGTAAAAGTTGATTGCAGGCTTGGGGTGAGGATGCGTGGAATAGGTTATGACCTCTTATTCAGGAAACTGGAGCTACACTCAAAGAGAGTTTTTCATCTCCAGGGACAAACCAAGATGCTAACATTACAGTGGGAAACTTTGGACAAGCAGACCTCAGGATGCTCTGTAGAACTTAGTGTGTCTGGTTTATATTTAATGTATTGTCTGGTGCAAAACACAAAGCCCAGTGAGTTAATGTTTTTCATTTTTGG